CGAAGAATTCAGTCTACCAAATTTAACGTTAGACGCAGAAACAGACGGTACGCATATCAACGTCGTTTATGATCCGATGAAAATTTAATATTAATTATACTGGGAAAACTGCCAATTTTTAAGCTGTCCTGTACCTAAACTCGAGTTTCATTTCGTAGCTTGATTAGCCTCTGCATAATCAAAGGCGTCTCGCCAATTACTTGACTTGGCTCGTGCAAGATAAAGCAAGATTCGTAGACAACCGTAAAGATTAACACCACCGCAGCTGAATGCGAAAATAAAATAAATGGCAAAAATGCCATCGATGTATTGCATATTGCACAAATTAAAACTTGTGTTTGCACGGAATTCAACGAACAGATTTTCACACAGCGTAACAGACTCGAGTTTATAGTAAATAAGTTTTATGGTCCATAAACCTGAAACCGCGACATTGCAATTTCAAACTGAATTTTCGTTCGATATATCGTTTTGTTTAAAAAAAAAAGAAAGACAAAGAAATTGTTATTTATTGCGCAATTTATTACGAAGGCTTGAAGCCAGCACAGAGTTAAAATCGCGCCGGTTTGAAATCAGATTCCCGTCACATGATCGTCGTGAATTTTCTCTAGCGCAAGGCACAAGAGATACATAAACCCGATTCGTCTCTCGTACGTCTATTCTTACGTTCATAAGGTTATTTACACTCGGTGTCTGACACCATTTCGGTGGCTCGAGCCGCGGCATCCAGAGCCAAGCTCGACTATTCGTCCGCGTTCAAAGTGCGTCTAGCGAGACCCTCAAGTATCCGTCGAAAAGCGCGCTCCGCGTCTCACGAGAAGCACGAGAGGAAATCCGAGCGAAATAGAGCCAATTGTTTGAAGTTTGAGAGCGTACGAGGCCTGAGACGAGTTCCCGCATTGTGAGCCGCGATTCCTGTGCATCATCTCGGATTTCCATCACTCAATCGTTTTGAAAATTTTATTTCAGTCGCTTATACCTAAAACTTTGTTTAAAATATATCAATTTTTTTGGAAGATTATATAAATATTAATCTATTGTCATTTTTATCAATGAGTAAATTTTGTACGATTAAATATATATATATATACATTTATGTAAAAATTCGTAAAGAAATTCATAACATAAGCACTCGTAGCTTAAAAAATCTTGTAATGTCTACATCCATAACAAAAAGAAAATCGTATTTTTATCATAGATACAAGAATATTCATGGACGTCTCAGAACTGTCAACGTCAAAAGACAAGCAATAAAAATAGATCTGTGTTGCTCTAAAGTTTCGTCTTATAGTAAAATAGCATATAGTAAAACATCTTCCTTAATTTCATAATTTTTGAATTTTTTCTACACTAAATGTATAAAAATTTCCGTATCATTGATTCTACTTCAATTTCTACCTCAAATGATTTCAACATTCAAATAGCGATATAATTTAACAATCAATTGTTGAAGCCATTTATGACAACAATCTCTTTATCTATTTAAATGGGCTATTATACGTTACATCCTATCTTAGAAACAAATTCGTTTGAGAACGAATATACGTGTACAAAATTAATATAGAAACGGCACAAATGCATTAAATTATCAAATGATATAAAAATAAAAATATTAGATCAGCATAATACACATTATAAGAATATAACCCAATATAAACTCATTATTGCAGCAACAATCATTTTTAAATCATCCTGCCATATATTTTTTTTTAACTGGCGTATTAGCTCAGATATTAATTCAAAACATTACATTTTTACTCGCTATATAATACTCGTTAGATAAATTCAAGAAATATTTTATTATAGATACGTGTCCCCTTTATACGTTATGACTTATAGTCGCGCCAGCGGACTAGCAAGCTTACCCAATTCTGGAAAGCACAGAAAAGTGCGCGCTGGCATTTGTTCGATACCGCGCGACAGCGCGACGATAAGACACGATAAGCACTCGTAGATTACGTGAACCGCACGACGCGACAGGCCGAAAGAAACTGGACGGTGGTCTCAACCCCACCACGAGCCGGCACTCGGCCGACAAATGTAAACAATCGCGACAGCTGATCGCCGAAGTACACGCTCCGATTCTATCCCCGATAGTTGCGGCAGCGACTTGCTGTTATATGAGTATATATGTCGAGTATTATAGACAGATACTGTCTGGGGGATACTATTTCGACTCGACGCTCTCACTGTGCCAAGTAAATACTTGCAATGAACACGTTTTGTTGCGTTACCTAGAAACATTCGAGAAAGATTTAACGAGACATATTTGAGTTTCATGGACTTCTTACATCATATGCTATCTGTGTACAAAAATCTATTAAAATAATACAAATCGTGTGCAATGTAAAAAATATTTTGATTGTCCAGACAATACAAAACTTTAAAATATCTATTTAAAAAGGTAACTTTTGCATCTCTATGATGTCTTTTAGACTTTTGTGTTATCTAGACAAATATTTTTCACTATAAGCTAAATTAGCAATTACTATGTAGTAAAAATCAAAAATCCAATAATACATACTATGGAAAACAAACGCATAAATGAAAGCAAACACTTTTTTTAGTCTTCTATAATTACATAATTTCTACAAAAAAAAAATTTAGTTTAAAGTCATTATTATTACATCGCTTTGGTTCTGTGTAGTGATCGATTCAATGGTAAATCGCGAGAGTTTGATTTTTATTTCGTATTTTATAAATTATAAAAGATTGAAAAATTAAAAGCTCCGAATAAAAGAAAGTTTTGAATAAAAATTAAAAGCTTTAAGTAAAAGAATACTCTTAAGTAAAAGATTGTTGCAGTATAAAACTAGAATCTGTTTCGGAATCGATAAATAGTACAATCATATATATATCATGTGACCATAACTCTTTCGTATGCGCAAATAGGAACTTTTAATTATAATAAACTATAGTTTGTACTTTTTTTAACTAATATCTAAATTAGAATGCATAACAATATATTACAAGATTATTTCATTGCATCTCGCAACGATTATGACAAACATATTGAACCTATATTTAAGAATGAATGCCTGATAATATGTACTTTCCAGCACTTACACGATACTATGTAACACAGTGCACGATTCTACGTTTTCTAACTGTGACACAAATCAACACAATCACAGCTAAAGTATTGTGTTCAATTGTGTCCCTATTATATCATTTCACGAATATCAAATTTTTACATTTTATTATTTTTTTTCTAGGAATACCTCAATAAAAGGTTTCAAAATTACATTCGGATATATATATTCGTACATAAGATATGTGAAACCTTTTATTTCACTCTGGCACTCAGGAAATAAAAAAGTTAATCGTTTCACTACAAATCGATATTAGATACCTTCCAGTAAAGAAATGACACATGGCTGTTTTCCAATTAGGACATTACCACGGAACATTACGCTGTGTAAGATACTTGTTGGAATGTAGTTTAGTTTCACAGTATAATACCAGAATACATTGTAGTCTTCCATTCTTATTCTTATGATTATATTTACCATATCAATAGTAGGTATTCGATTTTCATTTAGATTTAAGGGGGTATTCTAATCTAATGGATAAAAAAAATTGATTTTTTTTACATATTTTGCAAGTATTTGATATAGAAAATATGTCTGTAAAAGGAATTAGCTCGATTCGCAAAATTAACAGTTATAGCACCTGATAGGGAGCAATCTCCGACTCGTTTTCGAAAAAAAAAAAAAAACTGTAAAGTTCGAAAGATATCAACTTTCCTATTTCAAAAGAATTTGATGATGAGAAAAAGAATAAAGAAGCTGAAAATGTTGTAACACATTTATGGTTTCCGGCGACAGAATGGAAAAAAAGATTCTAGCTATCTCTATATAACCAGTACAAAAAATTTAAACGCGTTTTTCTTGAAACTGTTGAAATGTTTTTCAAATTAGCTCCCATGACATCTCGAAAACCAGTTGACCAATCGAGTCGGGCATATGCATATATTTTCAGCACATATATGACTACAACCCGTATTATAATCAAATTGAAATACATATTTTTGTAACTTTTACAACCATTTTAGTGAAAAAAAAGGCAAAAATCGAAACTTAATTTTCGACATGACATTTTTTAAATTATTACTATTTTTCTTCGTTCCTGTATCTGCTATAGCCAAACTCATATTAATTAAGAATTTCTTTAGGTTTTTTGTTTCAGATGAGCAAAAGAGCTGGAAGCCATAGACCTAGTCTTATTTTTTATGACGTTACTTAATATTTTATACAGCACATATCAATAATTATTTTTTAAACAAATATATAAAAAGCTCGAAAGAATCTATCAGTAAAAAATATAAAAAATTAGAACCTACATTTCATTTAGTTACATTCCACACAAGAATAAAGCGTTTTCTATGCATCCGAATAGCTGATGTAAGCTCTGATGGGCTTTTTTATATTTTTTACTGATTATTTTTTAATAAAAAAATTCTAAAACGTTCTTCAAATATGTATAAATATGGAAAAAAAGCTTGTCCCAAAAAACTTTGTCTTATATTTTTAAAAAATTCGCAAAAATATTAAGCATAAAAATTTGCCTTCTAAACTAGAATACCCCCTTAAGTTATAATTTTTTTTAGAATTAGCAATTTTTGACGGTTATATTGCAAAATAAGTATGGCTACCAAATAACTTTTTGAAAAGTTGATGACATATTTCACACGCTCGTACTTAACTTTTTACAGTCGAGCAGTGTAATCCTGTGTCATATATGGAACACTTTATGTAAAACAGTATTACACTGTCATCTGTGTACGTTATTGGAAAATATCCTATGTCACACAGTATACGACTGTATTCCATTGTTAAAAAGCACCCATGATATTTGATATTGTAAAACAGTTGTAAAAAAATTCGTAAATTTCTAGCTAATATAAATACAATATCATTCATAATGATACATAATTTATGTTTGACTAATCAATTTTTATGTTAAATGATAACTCTATCCAAACAAGACTCATGTATACAAATAAAAATAATTCAATTACTATCACACATTATTTTAAGTAGAGATTCCACAAATGCCACAATGGTGCCAAAGCCATCAGAAAATTAGGATGTTTTCCAACAATGGAACATAGTCATACACTAATTTATTTACCGCTAAAGTAAAATAAAAAGGCTGGAATTCGAATATGCTCTTGAGCAGAAGACATAAAATGCATTCGGGGAAATACTATTAGCACTATTCTTCATGTCGTTCTAATCAGTGATGGAAACTTTTGACTTTAATGGGAAGTACTCATCTAAACGGGGAGAGGATATCAAAATAACAAATATTTTATCTTTATTCTTTTGTTGTATATGTAAATTTATATTTCTTCATATACACCCTAACCATCAAATACTGGTTTTTGTCAAATCACTTAAAATTTTTTTAAATTTGTAAAAATTGACAATTTTTTTTAAACACCGAATTCTGAAATTCAACATCCATTTCAGAAGATCTGAGGTATGGGAAAACTCTATACCCTCTATAAGGAAGGAAATTTCCTTCTTTGATTCCATCCTTATTGTCTAATAAACGAGGAAAAAAAATGACAAAAATAACGCTAATAGCATCTCCCCGAATGCACTAAACTAATTTAAAGTTTTTAGTAATTTTGCTCTGATTGGTCAACTTGCAATCTAATATCAATCCATACTACATTAACATAGGCTTCATGTCATCGTATCAGAAGTTCAATATTCCTATTTAAATATTGATACACATCAATATCGAAAAACAAAATGTCAGAAAAAGTATCGATATTTAAAATAATGGCATTGTATCGCCCATTCGTATCATACACTGTGTTACAATGTCGCCTATATAAGTTTCTAGAAAGCACTCTTATTTAAAACTGATTTTTAAAATAAAAAATTGTCATTTTAGTTTATTATTACTATTCAAATCAAACATTTTAAGTTTAACTTTAGCTAATATTTAGCATTTGACTTAAACCATGTCTAAATTTGCATCATTTATCCGCGTTATTATCTTATAATTACATTAGCAGAATAACATTACAGATATTTCATTTATACTCTCCCTAGAAATTCTATACCCATGGTCCAAATTACCGGCGTATCTGTATCCACAGTCACTTTGGAATCTACATAAGTATTTGAAGTACTTATCAAACCGCCAAATTGCATAGTTGTTTTATCTAAAATATAAGAAAAAAAATAGAATCAGAATTCAGAAAAATTATTCAAATAACAAATAATAAAATATTTACGTAATGTAATAAAATGATTTACTTCAAGATAAATGAGATATAAAACATACTTAAATTCCATTTCAAACCAGTCGTTGATATACAATTGACGATACAACCAAATGGTAATAAACCACACCAAGATTTCTGTTGAACCAAAATTTCTGGTATATGTATGCTATGCATACCAGGTTTTAATATCCATGTCATAGAATTGCTTGCAAGTTGTATCACCTGTAAAAACAACCTCCAATCAGAATATACCTAATATGGAGACATAATCACAAGTTTGTCTGTTCAAATAAAAACTCTACCCGTGTATTTCCCACAAGCTTGTCACTTTTGTATAGAGTATTGACGTTGGCAATGATATGATCAAACCTGCCTGATGTTTCTGCAAGTACATATACTTCATCTAACTGCCAAAAAATATCATTCATATAAATTTCATCATATAACCATTAATTTAAAAAAGCAATAATAAGGATCTAAAAGATTACATTTATGTTGTGCGTCTTAGCATAGTGTGCAACTTCCAGCAAAGCTTTGGTACAATCTGTATTATCCTGATCAGGTGTCTTGATGACAGTGGATCCTATACTTTTAAACTTCTCAACAATATAAGGTAGACAGCTATCCATATCCCCTGTGATGAGATCCGGTACATAATGCTTGTGCTCAATGTTCAATGCGTTTATTCCCTGTTCTTCCAGATACTTCAGCCATCTCTGTGTTCCACCATCCACAGTGACGGTGATTCGAGCTGTTTGTACAAAGAGATACATAAATCAACAATAAAAAAATTGCTTGCATTGTAAATCTCGTTAATCACTTTCTATTTGATGATACAAATCGACATAAGCATTATTCTATCTTTCTTGACATTCAGTAAATAGGGACCTAAACACAAAGATGACTGTAACTGAATCATGGAACGTAAGTCATAGGCTGTGGTCAAAGTCTCGCTACAAATACTTTGAAGCATTTGATGGACCAATTAGAAGAAAGAATTTTACAAATTGACCAATTAAAAAATGCTTCAAAGCATTTGCAGCATACTCATAGTCGTAAGTTGATTTAAGTTTATTCTACAATAGAATCGCAAACTGTAAACTGTAAAAAATTAATCAATCATAGTCAATTATTTGTTTCATATTCAACTGTGATTGGCTAATTTCTTGCAGCTTACGACTTGCGACCTTATCATAGAAGAAGTACAAAATATTGTACATTGATCTATCGTACTATGACTAACGTTCATAACTCAATTTTGATCATCTTTATGTTAAGGCTCTAACAAAGACAGAAATGTAAGATATATATTTTTTCAGTTAGTATACAACCTTTTTGCCAAAATCGAAGTAGTACGTTGTGCTGCCAGCGTATGGGACGATTCAATACGATTATCGCGTATTCGCAATGTGTACCATTCTTGAACACGTCTAATGGATTCCATGTTGTGCTATCACCGGACATCTGCTGCTGCATCGTACGATCCGACGTAACATGTCCCATCACTGAAAAGCGTCGAGCAACAAAAAGGTCAAGGTTAAAACACAAATAATTCCGCAACATGAGTTTACGTAACATGATATCGGTAGGTGATTTTCATGCCTTGAAATCTTTTCCGCAACAAGAAAAAACGACACAGCAAGGAAAAAGAAAGTCTATCTGCTATGTTCAAAACTTCAAGTTGCTTCAAGTTACTCAACGTTCGTCATGTTCGTTCTCACTTCACATGACTTCGCAGATCCTTACTTTTTCACGCGATCGTCACTTGTCTGCCGAGTGCCGTGTGATTCGTTTACAAACTCACGCTATCTCATTTAAATATTCAAAACATGTACTCGCGAAGTGCACTGGTAAACCGAGAGAATTGTTTCATGCCTCATTACTACGTTGTACATTATTCATTACATTCATTACATATCACTTGCTTATCTTATTACTTACCGTTGTCGAGGTCAGAGATGATATTTCGTAATTGCTCGCCAATAATCTCCGAGGCCTCATAATGCCTAATTTCGCTTTTAAATTAATCATCGCGAAACGCGGTTGTCTTGAAAATTGCATCGAGATCGCACCTGATATTTCTGCAGACGTTCTTTTCCACAAAATCATCTGCTGAAGTGAGATGAGAAGATACACATATTATACTTTCGAGTAACGCGCCGTATTATTATACTCCATTATCGGATTAAGGTGCCTTTTTATGTTGACATCCGGCGCTCTTTTTTAAGACCGCAACACACTTTTGCATAACCTCGCAAATACAAGCTTTAATAAATTGACCAATCATAGTCGATTATTCTTCTCACATTCGACTGTAACTAATTTTTAATACGAGGTCTACAATAGAAATCATAGCGGTCGTAAGGTTTTAAGTCCTAGAAAATTAACTAATCCTAATCTATTATTTTTCTCATATTCGACTGTGATTGGTTAATTTTCTATACCCTATTATTACTTCTATTATAAATCCTGCATTAAATCGTAGAAAATTAACCAATTACAGTCGAATAGGAGAAGAATAATCGACTATGATTGGTCAATTTTTTATGATTTAAGATCCTATGATTGCTACGATTTCTATTGTAAATATCATAAGCCGGTTCTACATTAAGCTGATTCTGCTTAGTTGCAAGCTGATCGCAAGTTCGTTGCGACAGCCAATATGAAGCGTTAATTTCAAAATGCAAGCTTCAGATTGATTATCGCAACAAACTTGCTATCGGTTTGCAACTAATGTAGAACCGGCTTAAGAGGGAAATACGCGACTGTGATTGATTTATTCTTACTATAGTATGCAGTATACGATTACAATCAGCACAAACGCATCCTAACTGCAAATACTTCTCTGTTCAATCAGAAGAAAGAATTTTACAAATTAAAAAAATACTTTAAAGCATTTACAGCACGAAGTGAATCGCACCCTAATCACATCTGTTACTTTGAATATAAAAGTGCAGGAAAACGCAAATCAAAACAAATAGACCTCATACCTCCGTAGTTACGACGCAATTTCATATATAAGTTTGTACACAATGTTGCACAATTGTTCACGCAATCGATTTATAATGCCATTTTAATCAGCAATTTGCTCCAATTATCAGATTGAGCAATACTTCATTTTTGCGAAGACGCCGACTCCTTTCCGATTTATTTCTTGCAGATAGTGGTCGATGGGCTCGAAAATTTGGATATGGAAAAACATACCGGGCATTCCAGGTCGATGCAACGACATAGTTTATACACGGCCGAAATTGCAGTCAACGCACGATCTTCTTATATTTTTTGGCGGCGACGTCCAAGTATGTACGTTCAGGAACACTTCAGTTTTCGTTTTTAAAAAATTAATAATTCCTATTCTTTCAAATGTAATGTAAAATATTTATTGTATTGCACTAAAAATAATTATGTAGAATATACGAGATATTATATTTTAGAACTATTAACTATATATATCTTTTATATACCTATTAGTGATTTTTGTTGGCATTATATTTATATTGATTTTATAATAACTTTTATGATATATTTATATTAACAAAATTATTAAAAATTATTACAGGATATTCAAAAAAACATGGAAAAGCATTCGGATAGCAAGAAATATGCAAAATGGAGCTTAGAGAACACAGCGACTATACTATCTGAACAATTTCCTAGAAGTCATTTATTTATTGTTCGTCCATCAAGGTAAGATATTATTATCATATGCTATGCACAGAAATATTACAATATTTCTGAATGATATATAACTTCTTGTAGGTACTCCATAAAAATTATATAGAGATTAGAAAAATGCTAAGTGATTCTCTTGACTGCCATGTTTAGCTCAAATACTTAGTATGCAAGAACTTGGTACTTGTTTCAGGATGACAATAACTAAACACGCAGTATTCAGTTGTTTTGATAATTTCGTATCAGGAGATACATATGGCACACCTACATTTTGCCCAATGTACAATGCTTTAAGGCATTTAAAAGATCTCATTACTTGCTGCTTAGAACATGTTAAAACATTAAAGATTGAACAAGTATGTATTAGACATAAACGAATCATAATTCATGAAAAATTTTATAAATCATCACATTAATAACCTCCTCCAACTTTAATGTATGTACAACTATAGTTATAACTTGTACCTTGACAATGTTCTTAAAAGATATAATACATTGCATGCATCGAGTATAACATTGATTTACTGAATACATAATATTTTAATATTTTTAAGGATACTGATATCTATAATATCGAAGCTACAAACTTAAGTCTAATGGGCTTCAGTAAGGGATGTGCAGTTTTGAATCAGTTTCTTTATGAATTTCATCATTACGATAACGACTCGAATAACGATCCCAATATAAATAATTTTATCAAACTTATCAAAGATATATGGTGGTTAGATGGCGGACATAATGGTCCCAAAAATACGTGGATTACAAATGAGGATATACTTCGTTCCTTTGCTAAATTAAGTGAGATAATTTGGAAATATCTTGAAGTAGTGAGATTTTTCAATATATTATGTTTATATAACGTGATTAAATATCTTCTTCAGGAATAAATACTCACATACATGTAACGCCATATCAAATGCAAGACAAACATCGACCATGGATTCAGATGGAAGAAAAGAGTTTCAATGATACCTTACAAAGGATGGGAGTATCTGTACAACAAACTTTACATTTTAGTGATAAAGCGCGAAACCTCTCATCGCATTTCAATGTTCTTACAGATATCAGAAGTAACGTGCAATAAAACTATCGTATTCTTCTCTAAATTTACGGTATAATCGAGCATTTGTGCTCGAAGTTGTGTTATGAATCATAAAATAGATCGCAATTTCTTTACATCATCAGGATCAAAATAAAATATAAAGTCATGTGAAAATTATGATCTTGTTGACAATATTATAATTGATATATTTCTGTATTGCGAACTATTTTATAATTTATACAAAAAGTTTAACAGAATCTATTTTCGCAATGTACATATTGATTATTATTTATATTTTAATAATACACTCTTAATCTCTAGTCCTATAAGTAATAGAAATCTGTTAAATATGATAAACTGTATATTTACAACTGTATTATTTACGTTGTACAATTTTTTATTAAATGTATTGTTTTGTTGCTTATATGATATGTATAACATCTTTGAACAATTACTAATTAAATCTAATAAAAACTATAAATGTGTTTATTTTATTTAACAATCTGAGAAAATATGATAAAGCTGTTATTGTTTCTTTTTTTTATACAAATTTCATTTCGTATTTTCTTTTTTAATTATTAGTAATATCTATCTTCGTAAGTATGAAGCAGAAAATGTAAAAAAAATACATATATACGACAAAAAATATAGTAGTAAAATATGTAGCAAAATAATATATATAAACTCTAGATAGTACATAATATTACAATTACAGAGGAATATCTATGTAAAGAAAGACTCTCATCTCTGCGTACATAATTACAGTTCTTACATTAATCTTTGAGATATCTATTCTTCATAAATAAATATAATTCTCTATGAATTTGCAAAAAAAACTTGTATTATTTATTTACTTACTCAAATATACTTTCTTAAATCTAATACTTCTTTCTCTTCATAATCATCTTTAAATATATTAATAAACTGTTTCTTTCAATTTATTTTAAATGAAAGAAAAATAAGAAATTATATCTCTTCTGAATTATAATATATTAAAATTTAAAAAATAATGATTTAATGATAATAATTTTTTAACTCAAATTTAACTTAAATTTAAAAATAACTTCTTAATCTAAAGAATCTCATATATCATTTTTTTTATAGTATTGAGCAATCATTTTTACTGTATAACCTTGTTTTATGTATGATTAAACAAATATACTTTCATGAAAATCTAAAATGAAAAAAATATTCTAAGCATTTATCTATCATATATATTTGGTTGTTGTCATTCTTGTTACGATGCATAAATTAAGAAGCACTTCCCCCTTCCCCCTCCGATATGAATTATACTTCATTTTCTTCACTAACATTTGTTTGGACATTTAGGTCCATAAAAAGTTATTTTTAATTCTGTAATAAATCCAAATAATAAGTAAGTCTAAATTATAGCAAATACAATAGATATTATAATTGTTTCATATACGTTCACATAAATAAATTGAAAAAAATATAAATAAATTGAACTTACTACTGAGTTTATACAACACTGCAGCTTCAGACCATTCATCAGAACCATCACAACAATCACAATGTCCATCATTGACTTTGTACGATGGTATTCTTACTGAAAATTTATATAAATTTCATAAATTACTTCCGTTGTGTAGCTTCTAACATTGAAAATTTTATATATTGCAAAGAGATTTGACTGCAATACCTGCTGACTTTTTTGAACTCTTCTCGCAATTAAAGAAACCATTGTTGCAGGCGTTAGTACCTGGTTCATCACTACCGTCTATTGGACAGTCACAATAATCATCATTGATCTTTACAAAATCAATCTCCCTCTTCGAAACAAAACATACAAATTTCCCGTTGATGTTGGGAAGATACTTGGCTATATCCTGATCCCGTGTACCACGCAATGATACCGTTTGACCATTCGTGTCGCGAATGAGTTTCGAATGATATGGTTGATTCCACTTATCAACTTGCTTGCCGATAACAACACGATGGGTATCTTTCACCGAGCCGGCAATCAGCTTGCCTACGGTATCTTGGTTCAATTCTTTAAAGTAGAATAGCTGATGGATCACGAATATCACGGCGACCACGAGCACGCACACCAGCATGTACTTAATCTTCTTTCGCAGAAGACGTCGCTTCCAGGATACCTCAGTCTTCATGTTTGCCAGCTAACCGTTACCGTCGAACACTATCGCGGAGCAAATCTCTTCTGAAAGTGATGTTTCGTGTATCAACACCGTGCCGGATCGTCATAGCGCAAACATCTGCAGAGTGTATCGCGGGTAATTACAATTATCGAGTACCTATGCCTCTTTCAATTCGAACGTGCGACGCGGTTAGCAAGTCTATTTGTACGCACATTAATATACAGGGTGTCCCGTAAGTTCACATCCACAGAACACACATTTCAGGCCGGGACACGTGGAGGGAATGATATCGTGATATAACCTCTCATTTTGAGCATGCGGCATTTATAGACTTTTCTCTCTATGTCCAGCAGATTTTTTTACAAGTCGTATTCCACGACGATAAACGTAGGATTCGGTAGATCGCCAGTAGAAATGACAAATGCCGAATGCGAAACCACAAAAGCCAGAACTGGCAGAATGACACTTGTTCATCATCATGTGGATACACCGGTGTTCATGCCGGTGGGAACTCAGGTTTATAAAAATTCTCTTCCCTTCTTGTTTAAGCTGTACACGAAGTGATCATATAAGAAACATATTAGAACATTAGGTTTTTTTAATTTAAAATCCACATGAAAAGATGATAACTTTGATAATTCTTTAATTTTTAATACTAAATATTTTGATAACATCTGAAACTAAATTTTGTTTTAAGTTTACGATTCCTGCAATTGTAGTAAATTGTATTAATAGAATCTCACTTGTGTGTGTGTATATTCATAACTTAATTTGTAAACGAGCTTCTACCTTTTTTGTCTATCAAATTTTCTTTTGAATTAAAATAAACATTTAACTTAAAAATCTAAATTTTTTAAATATATGACTCAATTATAAAGCATTGTGTTCACGATGCTAGAAATCATTCTTCAAACGTTTTAGACGAAACAAGAATTAATAAATCATATTTGAATAATTGAATCTGATCAATAGAATTGTTCAATTCTTTCTTTTTCTGAATCTTGGAGTGATTTTTAACATTTTGGACGCAACGATTTAAAGTTACATTAAATTTGTTATTGCATCATTTTCAGGGAACATTGAAAGGATTGTTGCCTCAACAACTGGAGCAACTGGATTGCCAAATAATTCTTGGTAATACCTATCATCTTGGAAACAGACCTGTAAGAAATCATGCATTATCATTAGAAAAAAAATATTGGTTGATTTAGGTAGAACAGTCAACGAGAGTTTTAGATGTGTTAGTAAATTTTTAAAAATGTAATTTCGATTGTATTAAAATATATACTTTATATTGATAGGGTGCAGATATTCTACGTAAAGCTGGAGGTTTGCATAAGTTTATGAACTGGAAAAGGGCTTTATTAACGGACTCAGGTGGTTTCCAAATGGTTTCATTGTTACAATTAGCTGAAATAACAGAAGAGGGTGTAAAATTTAAATCACCATACAATGGTATGATATATATAGCTAGAGAGATATATTTTTAAATACATTCAAACATAACTTATACATAATTTAATCGGCCTATAATAATGTTTACAATAACGTTTCATATAGAATCTGAATGTATGTTGACACCCGAACATTCTATTCAAATTCAAAATTCAATTGGAGCTGACATAATCATGCAACTCGATGATGTTGTTAGTAGTACTTTAACCGGACCAAGAGTAGAAGAAGCAATGCATAGGTACAATTATTTTTGTAAACACATTTTCTAAATAATATATTGTCTAAATAGCCTGGCTTAAGCGAATGTTATTTAACACAAACCATTTCAGAACGATACGTTGGCTGGACCGTTGTTTGTTAGCGCATGAAAGACTAGATGAGCAGAGTATATTTCCAATTGTACAAGGTGGTCTCAATCCCGAACTACGATCCGAATGCGCACGTCAATTAATTAAGCGGGAGGTAAATGGATATGCTGTAGGAGGTTTGAGGTAGATACTGGATTATTTGTTGATATATATAGCTGATAAATAAAGATTTTTATATAATACAGAAATATCTAAATCTTACATAATACAATAATAGTAATTCTTATAATGATTTCAGTGGCGGTGAGAGTAAAGATGATTTTTGGAGAATGGTCCACTTATCAACGAATATCCTTCCAAAGAATAAACCACGATATCTCATGGGTGTTGGATTCGCAATAGATTTAATCGTATGCAGTGCGTTAGGTATCGATATGTACGATTGTGTATTTCCAACAAGAACTGCTGTAAGTATTTCATAAAATACATACTTGTTTGCGTAGAAGATGGAAATTTCAAAACATTAAACTAAAACTTTCAGAGATTTGGTTGTGCGTTGATAAAAACGGGACAGCTCAATTTGAGACAGATACAATATAAAAAAGACTCAAGACCAATAGACGAATCGTGCGAGTGTAGTACTTGCAAGACTTATTCTCGCGCTTATCTACATCAAATCGCCACTGTGGAGACAGTATCATGTCATTTATTAACCGTTCACAATATTGCATTCCAAATGAAGCTCATGCAAGATATCAGAGACAGTATTAAAGAGCAAAGATTTCCTAGATTTATACAGGACTATATGTTGATAGTTTATCCAAATAAAGACTATCCAACATGGATAATTAATGCTTTACAGGCTGTCAATGTTACCCTATTATAAAACAGGATACCATTGATTTGTACTGCTACATACTTCTTTAGACAATATATTTTTTTTTCTGTCTACACGAAGATTTTTATAACTTATTCCCGTATTTTATTTTTATAATTTTATAATTTTATTTTTTTCATTGAAATCATAGCAATATATCTAAATACTTGCAAGCTATTAATGTATGTAAGTACTGTTGCAAGAACTGTTAATATTATTTGTCAGCATAGCACGGTTATGGTTATACAGTATGTTCTAGAAATTTTTGAATGACAAAGCAATCTTCTATTACAGACAAACATAGTGTGTACTGATTCTACAATGACATATTTCTACAATTTTGCAAATACAATATTTGCAAAATATAAATCAAATAAATAATCGTACTTGAAAGAGATATTTTACACTTTTTATTCTGGAATCCTTTTACTGGAAATGATAGAGAATGAGGCACGGACCACAAATATAAGTAACTTCATCACATGAAATCATCTGAGTCATATCCACTGGTTTCTGTGTTTGAAGTCATGTTAGATGTATTAAATAGAGAATTGTAACTCCTGAAAAGTAATTTTTTATTAATAATTTTTCATAAAGAATTACTTAATCAATATTATTTATTTAATAGAAATATATCTGGTATATACTTTTATTAAATAAGTATTATTATAAAATTATGATTCACCTCATCTCTGCTTCTTCCTGACGTCGCTTTTCTTCTGCCTTTTCTTTCTCTTTCTGTTCTCTCAAAAGCTTCTTCTTGTCTTCCCGTTCGTTCTTATCTCTTTGTTCTCTCTCATTTCTAAAGTTGACTTGCTCTGAACGTTTTGTCTTGTTAAGACGATTCACGATAGTATTTACTCGCTTAGCAACATGAATTTTACGAACGTCTTTATCCTTGTGAAAGCCAACCTGTCCAACTTCCATACCTTGTGTCTTTTTCAAATTCGACCACATTGTGTACACAACATCGATATCATTCATTTTATTCCCTTCGATACTATTTGCTTTTACTAATTGTGCAGCATCTTCTAATACAGTACTAGGAATATCATCTATTGTCTGACCCTGCAATTTCAAAAAGAATTACTGTATCATTCTTTAATATCAAAAACAGGAAATTACTAATTATGATAATTAAGCTCACATGTCGAAGTCGAAGATATACGTGGGCAGACGAATATTTGTCAACATGAAACCACACATCCTCAGGCCAACCCCATTTAATAAGATCTTCATCTATACAAGCAGAATCCAATAAATCACATTTTAGATTATGCACAAGTTTTTATTAATTATGATAAATAATTACAAATGATTTTTCCACTTACTCTCAAATTTGTCTATTCCCATAAACAAAGTAATGGGTGGTTGCACAACTGCAATTCAAAATTATGACAATTAGTCACGTTTCTTAATAACTGATAACAAAATATTATTGTTGATAATTTAAGAGAATATGTTATTAACCTCTTAAAAAAAATCAAGATCTTAGAAATGTAAAAATTACCTTCGCTAGTGAAATAATAAACCATTATTAACAATTATTAACGAAAATTTCGAGTAAACACGTGCAACAAAATCAGCTGTCAAAAATATTTTTGTAGCGCCGACTGGTGGTCTGATGCTAATGATGGCGCTGTCGAATATATGAGTTAGAAAATGTCTTTTTACATATAGCCGACAGATGGCGATCTGGTCGATTTTTTACGTGTCATTATTGGGCGCATCAGCAGACTCAACAGTTGAGTGAATGTTCGCAGTTTAGTGTATTCTTAAAGATTATCCAATCAAAATTTTAGATCTAGAAGAATACATCAATAGCAGCGAGCGCTCACTCAACTGTTGAGTCTGCTGAACGCTTTGACTCAGAGTGCTGATTGGTGAAAAGTCGGTTGTGAGGGTAAAATTTACCTTCATCACCCGTTTTTCACCAATCAGCGTTCGGTGTCAAAGCGCTGTTGCCTGCATGAGGACCAAACATGGACTAATCGGAATATAGCGTTTAGAGTGTAGCATTCAAAACATTTGGAAGAAGCAAATGGATTGCAGCCTAAAGAAGACATATTAGGTTATATATCGATGGAAAGATGCTATTTTATATAACATTTTGAAATAGATTGATCATAAATTGAACGATACTGACGTATTCAATCGAATTTAAAAATGAGTGTAAATCAAGAACATCTTCAACACATTTTACTTCTTTATTATAAAAAAGGTAAGACTGCTGCAAAAGTCAAAGAAAAAAAAATTTGTCGTGTTTATGGAGAGAATGTTATAACTAGACAAACAGCAGCGAATTGGTTTCGCTGATTTCGAGATGGAAATTTTGATGTCAAAGATGCATATCGTTCTGGTCGGCCTATTGTGAAAAATGTTGATGAAATCTTAAAAAAGTTAAAGAAAATCGTCATGTGAGCAGCTATGACATAGCTAAGGAGCTAAATATTGATCATAAAACCGTTTTTTGGGATGCTTGCGTAAAGCAGGATACATAAAGAAGTTCAATGTTTGGGTGTCACATGATTTGACGGTAAAAAATTTAATGGACCAAATTTCCATTTGCAAATCGCTGCTGAAACGAAACAAAATTGAACCTTTTCTGGAAAGATTGATAACGAGTGATAAAAAGTGGATAACATATGATAATAATGCAAAACTCGGGTTGACGCCAAAGAAGATGATGCTATGTGGAACCGGAAAGGAGTCTTCTATTATGAACTGCTGCCACCAGGCAAAACAGTTGATTCTGATCTCTATTGTCAGCAATTAATGCGATTGAAGCAATCTATTCAGGAAAAATGGCCAGAATTGATCGATAGAAAAGATATTGTTTTTCATCATGACAACACTAGTCCACACATGTCTTTAATAACTCGACAAAAATTGAGAGAATTTAACTGGGAAGTTTTGATGCATCCACCTTAAAGTCCTGACCTTGCACCGTCCGATTACCATTTGTTTCAGTTTTTGCAAAATTTCCTTTAATGGAGTAAAAGTAAACTTAACTTCAAAAGAGACTTGTGAAAATCGTTTATCTCAGTTTTTTTATCGAGAAACCAGAAATGTTCTACACCGATGGAATAATGGTTCTACTTGAAAAATGACAAAAAGTCATTGATCAAAACGGCACATATTTAGTTTAATAAAAGGTTTATGAACAATTTAAAAAATATGTTTCAATTATGCTCCAACTTGTAAAAAAAATTTTTCCCTAACCTAATAGACAATTTAAAACTTAGTTATCTGTTTTTTAACAAGCAACTAAAGTGAGTCACTGCTCCTCGAAGAGGCTCTATGGATCAATATAACATTCTGACACTTTGACCTTCATTAGAGGAGTCTGAAAGTCAGAGAAAGAAGAAGAAAGGATCTGTTTTACCGACTAAACGCAATAATTTTTTCTTTTATAGATATAAAATTTTTTTTCAAAATTAAAGTATACGCGTTAATATGTGTCTATGAGGTGGAGTTTATATCGAGAATGGAAAAAAAAATTTTTAATTAAAGATGTGGACGTTGTTATCTGCTTGTTGGAAATATTTGTGCATCTTACGTAGTTAAAGCCGAGGAAAGAAATACCAATAAGAGCAACGATCAATGAAAGCGCCATGATTTTCGCCTCAGAATAAATATATTTTTTTTTAAACAAGAATACTTAGAATCGCATAAAACACAAATGCGAAAATTTCTTTGACTTCTTCTTAGAACTTATAATTAATATATTTATTTTAAAAGGCTAGGACAAAAATTTAAAACTGCAATCTAGATTTTATAACAATTTGTAATATTAACATTGACTAGTTTTCGATCTGCAGAATGGAATTCAATTTTTATTGTAAGAATTTATATTTACACATTAAAATAACAATTCTTTTTTTAATGTATATTAAAATACATTTTCTTTTTTTAAGAACTGTCAACAGGCAATTTGTACAAAAGCAATCAGCACTGTGTAGAAAATTATATATGATTAATAGCATGTTACATTATATTGCGTTGGATATCACATAAGACCTTTATAAATATAAGCATTCTTTAACTAGCGATGACTATAATTATAACTATTAATTAGTTATAATTATATATAACAATTAAAATTGCAATTATTATTGATCATTATTATTATAATATAATAATCATAATTATTATTATTGATAATTGATATTCCAAATCTCTGCAAAAATTATTTATAAATTTATATAAAAATATGAATGTTCCACAGAGACGCAAATAGGTTTTACCGTAATATTAGGTATAACGATTCATATGAATGGCATGTTTCTCAGTGTGATATGTCTTGGATATTTGGTTAAGCACAGGTGCAATTTCAGGGTCGTTAATCCATACATTTGCCGAAGCAGGTGTTTCTATCATTGACAAATATGCTGAAAGAAATAAAAAAAAATGTTAGGAAACATGATTATAATTTATTTTTTTTTATTGTTTCATTTTACCAAGCAACATCTTTGGTCTTGTAAGACTAAGCTGAATATGAGGATTACTCATAATTGCTTTATAAATTAGACCATCGGATTCGAGGCCTTCATCCAAATCTTGTAAACTACGTCTTCTTTCGCCCAGCAGCCATTCACACTGTCACAAGAGATATAAAACTCGAGAGATATAAGAAAATAAAAATATAATTTAAATTTACATCTTTAGTACAACCATTACATCTTACAGCATTAGCTTGATCATTCCCAGTAACTTTCAATGCCCCTACAACATTCTTATCCTCAAAGCCCATTTCTACAAGCGATCGCATTGCTCTCTTATTAGGTTTAAATTCCATTCTCTTCCATTGTCGAAAACTTTGCAATAATAATTCTACGATATATACCAGATCTTTTTCTTCTTGATCCTGTTTTTCTTTTAACGTTAAGACATTTTTAAATAATCTGATGTTATCTTTTTTCATATGTTTTATTGCTTTCAACTTGGATTATTTTCGAAATAATAACGCATATTTCAGTTTTGTGTAAGAATTACCTTTGAACAGTTCCAAACATGCTTCTTTAAATGACTTTTTCTTAGTGTTTGAAGAACTAGGATTTGCAATATCTGTGTCTGTCATTGTATTCGCAGGCGAGAAATCTATTTCATCATTTGAATCATCATCTGAATCATCCTGATGTTCTATAAGCCATTCTAAAGCTTCTGTCATATTCGACCTAAAACAGAGGCATACTCTTCTATAGTATTATTCACGAATGCGTTACATATAATACGATAAAAATATTGATACTTGCTTTCGAAGACATAACGCTTTAAGAACTTTCTTACGAGGATAACCCATTTCTACAAGATTTTTTATGACTTTCAGATCATTAATAGGATTACACCTAGCTTCAAGTTTCTCCTTAATATCATCGTATAATTTTTCAGCATAAGGACTGTACATCAAGATTTTTGCAGATGCTTGTACCAGAGTTATTAAAATCTTACGGATTTCATTCTGGAACTACAAGAAACAATAAAGACGTGAAATAGTGATAAACAAAAGTATAAGCATGTAAAATATATATATTTACATCCGCAGGGCATTCTGTAGATGGCAGAGGCTTAGGTGGATTTCGTACACTAGGTAAATTACTTGTAGCTTGAGCTATTGCTTCTAGACTTGGACTTTTAAGATCTTCCTCCGATGATTCTTGTGATCGTATTTCTACTAATAATAACTCATCTGTAAGAACAAATTATTGTGTTAAAAAAATATAAGTACACAATAAATTTGTACAAATTAAAAAATAATCGAAAAAATTATATTATAATCTATAAATAGCTTAATATAAATAATTATACCACATTCATTGATATCCTCGTCGCTTACATAATTTTCATCCTTAAGCTGTACAAATTTGGTTGAATGAACTAAGCGATAGTTTGAGATAGATTTGGTTGTATCTTGACCATAAAAATGTACCACTGCTGTTTTCTTAATATTTTCCACAGTAAAGTTTGGTTTTATTGCAACATCTAATACATTGCCTTCTATGCTGTATAAAAAGATTTGATGTTAATTAAACACCTGGCAAGATTTCTTGGAATTTTTATGATATCAAACATAAATGCAAACCTGATAACGTTGATGGAAAAGTTTTCAGGCGAGGTAGGTAATGGTTTAAGCATAGTGTCATTGCTTGTAGCATTGCCTGCGCTGACAGAAGAAAGGGCCAAGGACCGCTTGTCAGCCGTCCTTGAACTTTTTCTGTTATGCCAGGCTTCTGCTATTTGATCACGCATCCATGGGATCATTAAATTTACCTGAAATATGTGAGGATAATTATTATTATACCACACTGTTATACAATATAGAAAATATAGTAATATAAGTTGCATATAATACACTCGAATTTAATACCTTCTATCTCTACACAAAACTCAATATCTAATTTTCATAGAAAATTAATATGAGCAGATAATAATCATATTTTCTTACTTTTATGAAGCTTTTCACATAAATAATTTAGATCTCAATTTTGTGTTGCATAAAGACTCTCAATGAATCGATTGCGGAAATTATATCGAAAAATACAAATCATTTTTTCGGCTAAACTGTCAAGCACGTTAGAGAATCGATAAATCAGCTAACATCTTCGCAAATATGGTGCGTCAAAACATATTATTTTTACAAAACTTGGCCTCTTTTATTCTGTAAGAATCGTAACTGCCATAACAACTGATAGCCACATTTCGCATCACACACTTTCTGTCTGCTAAAGTCTTAAAAATTCCAACTCCAATCGTAGATAATTTGGACAATTCGCAGTAATCACTCGCACTTGCAACTATCAGCGGCTGTTGGCAGCTCTATTTTTTTTTTTTTTTTTTTTTTTAGCTGGAGGACATTTAGTGGCGCCTCTATGTGTACAAAGTATGCATGTTGAACTATGTAGCCACGATTATTTCCGGTGGGTAACTTCTATAAATTGAGAGATTATTTGGTCTTTTCCATTGTTTTTTTTTATTTTGCATTAAAACGCTATTAACTTTACGTTTTTTTATATTTTGTTTTTTTAGGCTTAAAATATTCTATTATGGAATACATACAGAACCTAACAAAACAATCGCGAAAGAAAATTAAAATATTTTATGCCTAAAAGAAAAACAAAATGTAAAAAAAAACATAACTGAAGAGACCAAATAATGTTTCTTCATTTTATCATTTTCTAGAACACTGTCACTTTCATTGTAAGTTGGTAATTATTATATAATATGAATTGCAGTCTGGATTTTCGGGAAGAGAAAGAGAAAGACAAATAATGTAGGAAAGAGCACCGGACATAAAGAGACTCCATTTTCCTTCGCCCTCTTTCCGTCGTGAATTTTCACGGATTTCTATGGCGCAAAAAAAAAAGCACCTTGCAAACAGACTCCATAGGCTAAAGAGGGAGAAGGAGGAAGAAGACCGGCGCGTCGCCATGGCAACGGAACATATGGAACGCGCGGACTGATGTTTCGCGTTTCGCTGTTCCAGCCAGCAGCTGCGACTGTCAGCTGTTCAATATGGAACGATAGCAAAGTACAGTCACTTGTAGGAGTCGGCCGCCGTCGGAACGATTTCAGCTAGAAGAGACATCCAGAACCGGAGCCGAATCTACAGGAGCGATATCGACGGAGTGGTGCGAGCGTGTTTCTTTTTCGTATCAGCGCGCGCAGAAGTGGGCGCGAACGGGACCGGACGTCGTAAGCGGGGGTGTGAAACAGTGAGTAGGGGAGAGGTATTAGGTACGCGCGCTGCGCTGAGGGCGAGATAGAGAGAAAAGGAGTTTTCGTTAAGAGCGTGTGTGTCGCGCGTGTACGGCCACGCACACGTGTCACCGAGATTTATGCGAGAGATCCCGCGCGAGATCAACCTGGATGTATTAACGCAAGGCTTAAGGTACAGCATATCAGGACTCATGAACCTCGCAACCAACCAGACGTCCGACACGACGTCCGATGCGCAGAGCAATGGTCCCTACTTTGTTAACTTCAATCAGGACTGCACGTAAGTACGAACGTCGCATTCTGCTATCTAATCACGGAATCGTTCCTCGAAATCTCTCCTCCACCTCCGTTGTCCATCTCCTTTGTCTGATCCTAACCTCATTTTTCGACCGTCTCCCGTCCTCGACGCGTGTCATCTTTTCTCTCTCTCTCAATATATCTATATATATATATATATATATATATATAAAACTAAAAAATTATATGTACACATGTGTGTAGCGAATGTACGCCTCGCGCCAAGGTTTGCATGTCGCGCGACTCCGCGCTCCCATGTTTTCCTCACGCGATGTTTTCGTCGCGTTATGCCTGCGTCATTCGCTGTTCCCCCTTTCACCGATTAATTGCGTGTTAACGAGAGAGAGAGACCCCAACCTTCGCGCACGTTCTCCCGCGCGTTGCGGCGAATGACTGAGAAGTGAAAGAAAGAGGAAAAAAAAGGAGACGGCAATATCGCACCTCCCGGCGCGCGAGCCAATCGGTCGACCTGGCCTTTCCGCTCGCGCCTTATCCAAGGACTTATCCTCGGCTCCTGCTCCTCGCGCGATTACATATCGTTCGTGACGACTCTGTTATTATTTCTTTTTTTTTTCTTTCTCTCTCTCTCTCTGTATACGATATTTGCCAGACAGCGATGGCAATAATATGGGAGATAGGCAAACAAAGGATATATACTTACGTGTATATACTTATCGAAGAAACTTGATTCTATGTTTTGAATATTATCACGTCTTTCTAACTAAAAGAAAAGAAAGTCACTGAGAAAGATGTTACAATTATACTCACAAGAAACAAATAAAATGAATTCTGATCATATATTAGGTGTTGGAATTAATTCGTAGCGTTTTTTAATGAAAGAATGTTATTTATTTCACATGAGCATTAAAAAATACATTAATGAAAGTACTTCCCATCACTTATAAAACGCTACGAATTAATTCCAACACCTAATAAATCAGAATTCTAATTATCGTGATTGAACTTCTGGTTATCTTGATTAGAATGTTTGATAGAGTTAACTATATAAGTGTCTGATTTGTATATTTCTGAATCTAACTGAATTCTAATTAATGCAACAAGATGTTTTCTAATGTAGATTTGTAATAGCATGTCCCAAAATGGAGGCAAAAGACTTCTTAAAGACTTTAAGATGTCTTATGATGTGATGTCTAAAAGATATCTTAGGTATTTTGTTTTTATTTCAAGATCATCTTAAATAATATGATTGGTTTGTGACATTTTAAAATGTTTATGACTTAAGGCAGTCAAAAATATAAGAATCGATAATTAATATTAGCCTTAATGATGTCATTAAGATGTCTTATATCAGTTTCGGATATGATGCTGTGTAAGTGCATTTTCAATAAAATTCCTTATTACCTTTTAGGTCCTTGGCGGTGGGATCGAAATCAGGATACAAACTTTATTCCATCAGCTCCGCAGGACATCTTGAGAAAATATATGAAAATGGTAATAATTAGTTTTTCTGTATTCTATCAATAATTCTTGCAATTTAAAATAACTGCTACAATAATGATTAATAGAATGGTAATAAATAATAAGCGAGATAAAAAATTTCTAAATATCTTTTATGTCAAAAATATTTGTAGCTTTTGTGTCGCATTAACACGTCTGCCCAGCAACTTTTACATGTATGCCATGATAGAATTTTCATTATCGTAAGCATATGATAATATATTGCATGATATGATTAAATAAGCTTATATGCTTATAGATAGTGTGGTAAACTGTGCACTGTTTACATTGTTATCTAATTATTTTATATAATTCAAAAAATTTTATATTAAATAGTATTTATTTTTTACAAGTGCTAAAAAGTTAGGCATTGGTCATGAATGACCATAATATCGACATGTTATCAACGAGTTCGAATAGAAGTCTTTGATGTTATTAATTAGAATATTTCATTTTTTCGAGATGATGCAGACTTCGAGGATATATGCATCGTTGAAAGATTGTTCAGCAGCAGTTTGGTGGCGATCGTGAGTCTTAAATCGCCTCGTACCCTTACGGTGTGCCACTTTAGGAAAGGAACAGAGATATGCAATTACAGTTATTCGAATACAATTTTGGCTGTGAAACTCAACAGAGCGGTAAGTTATTCAAATTTATGTTTACATTCTTCTTCTCTTTTACAATAATAGTACAGAATCTATTTCAAGTCTTGACTTCAAAACATTACAGTCTTATGTGAAACCTTGGTTTTTTTCATATAATTTACAATCACGATTTTTATGGAAAAGGATTTTTATGGAAATCCATTTTTGCTTGTTAAGCAACTACTAACACTGAGGTTTATTCAACATAGTTGAACAGAGTTTGGATTGAATGTAAACCTTTACTTATATTTAGATTTAATCAATGAACATTGGTTTCCATATTTTTGGATCTTAAAAATTTCAGTTTCCTCTTTATAAACAACAGTTTTTATATAATGTAATTGTCAGACACATACATAATTCTCAATTTGGAAGGTCAGGGAGCTTTTACTGATAATAAATTTAAAATATATGGGATTAAACTTGAGATTCGCTATTACGAGTTAGCTATTCTTACACAAAACTACGCAGCATTCCAATGTTCACATCCCAATTAATGAATTAACATTATAGATGCTTTTATGTACACGTATATAATCGTATAAATGTATAAATAAATACATATATACAATACAATTATTATAATTTTAAAAAATTATATCTTATGTTAGACATGTATTCATATGAACTAACTTACTTTTTAAATTCTGAATTTGCATATCTTATGATAATTCTCACATATTTTAAATTGTAAATTTATATGTAATGTTTTATTGTAAAATAAATAAAGTTTTGATTATAATTTTATAATATGTTTAATGTTTTTCATAATCTTTAATACACTGAAGGCAGTATCATTTATTTCAGAGATTGGTGGTGTGTTTGGAAGAATCACTATACATTCATAATATACGAGACATGAGAGTGTTACACACAATTCGCGACACTCCACCTAATCTTACAGGCCTTTGTACACTTTCGCCAAATAGCGACAATTGTTATGTAGCTTACCCAGGATCGAATACTATTGGGGAAGTTCAAATATTTGATGCGAATCATCTTGTATGTATTTTTTTAAACAAATTTCAATAAATCAGTAAAATCTTTGGAGCATTAGAAATTAACATTTTTAACATCTTTATGTTTTTCAATTGCACAGCAAGCAAAAACAATGATACCTGCACACGATAGTCCATTGGCAGCAATTGCTTTCAGCTCAACTGGCACCAAAGTGGCAACAGCCTCTGAAAAGGGTACCGTTATTAGAGTTTTTGATGTAAGTAGCTAGTAGATACAATAGTAGATACAATAGTGCCTATATTTTATTCATAACTGCTGCAATATCTGCATACAATTGCAACAATTTATTTTTACAGGTTCACGAGGGTACAAAGTTATTCGAATTTCGACGCGGAGTTAAGAGATGCGTCACGATAAACAGTCTTTCTTTCAGTATGGACTCTATGTGGCTCTGTTGTTCTAGTAATACGGAAACTGTGCATATATTCAAACTGGAGGAACCAAAGGAAACGTATGCATTACTGTTTTTTTAATGAATATTTCATTAAAATGTAGAAATAAATGTGTCACTTGGGTTATAGGCCAAACAAACAAACTGCAGACGAAGCACAAAGCTGGATGGGATATTTAACGAAGGCTGTGACAGCGTCGGCTACGTATTTGCCGTCGCAAGTGACTGATGTTTTTACTCAAGGACGTGCTTTTGCTAGCGTCCATCTACCATTTCAAGGTTTAAAAAATGTCTGTGCCATCACTGTGTGAGTATCCGAAAATTCGTTATCTTCAATTTATGTACACTGTTAAACTTAATTTATTACGTACCCGCGATACATTTTATTTACCTACATTTTAGAACACATAAAGTACCAAAACTGTTAGTAGCTAGTGCCGATGGTTACTTATATGTCTACTCCGTGGATCCGACAGAAAGTGGATGTTGCACGCTTATAAAACAACACAGGTTCGTAATATTATAATTGCAATGAGTTTTGTAAAATTGATAAACAATTGTTATTTTGGATTGTTTATTTTCGGATCGTCATTTTTAATCATTATTCTTAAAATATTAATAGACTGTGATTAATAAAAATGAAGATGGAAAGATATTTTACATTTTTCACAGATTAGACGATAAAGAGCGAGATGAGTCAGATTGTGGCGGTTCTGGTTCAGGAGCAGCTACCACGAATAATACAAATACAGGTATGAAGAAAGAATTTTGGACTATACATTTACAAATTAGTTGAAGCGAGTTGACGATAAAGATACATTACCGACAGTTAATTTGAAAGTATATTTAATAATGCGAAACTTTATATTTATTCACTATAATACGTTTGAGTGTGTATAGAGTTTCTTTTGTCTATTCTTTTTTAAAGTAATTTTGTAATTTGAGATAAGTTTCGCAATTACTCGAGCACTAACAGAATAGATTAAGTATCTCCTTCTTTAAAGTACATATACACATACACGCACACACAGAATTGGTACTGGCAGATATTTACATTATTTTATGCCATAACTATAATGAACTTATTGAAACATATTCATAATACAATTGATTAGTGAATTTCAATAAAAAGAAAAAAATATCATTTCTTTCGTTAAAGTTAATCTCGCTATCTTTCATCCATAAAACTAATGAAAGAAAAATTATCTGTCGATAACAAATTCAATTAATTATTTTTATTACAAGAATCAATATAAACTCATATTTTTGCTCAGACAAAAGCTATATTCTTATAGCTCGCTTGCTGTTTTATTGTGTAGTAGACAAATCGCTATTTCCATGTATTTGTAGATAGATCAGTGCTATGGTCAAGTAATTCATTAAAGTTGATCCAGTATCAGCTCTAATAAAATGCTTATATCCTTGGCTATGTACCATGCCGCGTGGGTGTGTATGTGTGTACGGCGCGCCGCGTATTCCAGACGCCTTTACTTTTATAATTTGCTTTATATCTTCTTTTTCTCGCTTCTAGCCCCCCTTTATGAATAAAATAGCCAGATAATTTCTTCAGGGGCTCAGGGGAGGGGAGGGGGGCCCGATAGTTGACCTTACTTGATGTAATTTTTTTCTTTTTAATATCCACCGAAGCCTGCATAAATAGCTACGCGGGTGTGTTGCGTGGCCGCTCGCCAGACTCCATGTCAGGTACTGGTATGTCCTCTATTCTGTCCCTCGAATTTTTTTTTTCGCTCTCATTCTCCGTATACAAAACACCTAATTCTCCTTTAGAGCTTTTCTCTCTTTGTGTACGTGTGTATGTGTGTGTGGATGTGTGTATGTGTGCCTCGCTATTAGCGTTCACGCATTTTTATTCTATACGTACACGCAGCGAAAGGAAGAATGAGAGCAATGCTGAATAACAATGTGCCTTTTCACGCGGTCTACATCCTCGCGTGTTAATATGAGCAATTTATATTATTCCGTATTACAAACGGATAGATCACAAATTGATTATGCTTATTAACTGTAGAAACAAATTCTTAAGATGGGTATATGATACACATGTGCACAGGACATGCATGTAGATACTAGTCTATTCTCGGGATAAATCACTAAGCACGTATGCAAGTTGTTTTACTAGTCAACAGATATAATAATATCTAGCATTATTGCATCCTGTTATAAAATATCACGAGAATTCCTATAAGCAGTAGTCTATTTTTAGAAGACTATCTCATAGATATCTTAATATTACAATAATAATGTTAACAATTGTACATAATTACTAATATATGATTATTAAGGCTGTTAACACAAATAGCTTGTATGATATTAATTATGTATGACGTTATATGATGGCAGAGATAGTAGTGACATATATTTTTTTAGAACAACTTAACTTATTAATCATTATAAAAGTACATATATGACGTGCTACTGTTAACGGTATTGTTCCTATACATTAAGTTCAGTATATGTAATATATAATGAGCTATATAGAATTTAAGAAAATAGATAACTCTTTTTATCTAATATTTTCTTCTTCTTTTCTTTTGGTCTTCATAAAATCGAATAATGAAATCGAAAATAGGCTGTAATAATTTGCATTTCATTTGTAAGAAATAATATTAAACAATACTTGAAAATAGAAATGTAAAAGTAAGAGTCGTATTATATATATATATATATATACACACACACACACACACACATACATACATACTTACCTGTCTAGTTTTGTAAATATTGCATCATATTTTCTCTGTTTTTTTTTTATATCGCATTTTTGAACGTAAAATTGAATGATAAAGACATCGTATTACGTAAAAGTATCTGTTTCCAAAGACGAGAATGCCATATACGCACGATTATTTTTTAAATAGTTTTTCCTTAATTGATAATTATACATATAATTTGATATAAAATATAGTTTTCTTATTAATTAAAAAAAATTGTGTTTTATATTTTATATTATATACATATACAATAGTGTATGTATTAGAAAATTAAATGCCTGTGTGAGATTAATTTTTCTTTTTTTAGAGAAGACCATAATTTCATATTCATTAACGAATTCATTAGTGAATGTATTTCACAATGTGATGTAGACAATGGTCAATGAGATATTTAAGTTGCACTCAGATAAAAACGTTCTTGTGCAATATTTGAACTCATATTTTATTCTTCTAGTTTAAGACTTGTATTCTAGTCCAATAAAGTTGGGAATCTTAGAAATCGAATTTACATTAAGAATCCAAATTGATCCAAATTGAGAATATATCTGAATGCATAAAATATATCATATATCATTGAATGATCGTCTGTATACATCTTTATCGTTATATCCGCTCGAGATAATGCGATCGAGATGGAAACCTGATAATCTGAATGGATTTGTAGAATCAGAGAAGTATCAAGAAATGATAGCGGCGACAGAAAGCCCACCAAAAGGCGGTGGTCCGTTTCGTCTGGACGATGATGCCGAATTTCCACCTGTCACGCAAAGGACAGATTGAGCATAACCCATACACAATTAAGGCATATCAAAAGCTCAAACTGAATGGAAATGAAAAAAGCCATGCGACGAAAGAGACACAGAGGACGTCCAGTATTTACAGACGGCTCTATATCCAGTACTCTATACCCAGTTCAATAGAACCAAAAATTTTAAAAATCTGTAGGCAATATTACCGAGATTGTTACGTTATTTTGTACGCGTTAAAGATCATAAATGGAATGTGTGCACGCTAAATTAGAAAGAGATCGGATTTTTATATACTAATCCACATATATCTGTGCAACAGAAAGGAAAGAAATACTGTTGAGTAACACTCGTAATATCAATAAGTTGTTGAATTTTTAAGCGGAATTTCTTTTATCATTAGTTAAATAGACATTGCATTTGCAAAAAGAATGCAATATCGCGTGGACAATATAGTAATCCAATGATAATAATTTTTTCAACTACAGGAATTACGCGATGAGGATTTTTTTTGTCAAGTGCACAGAGAGTGTATAATATATTATAACGCGAAGTATTTCTACATTCTAATACTTCTGTACTTTATATATATATAGAAAACATGTGTTTTTACTGTAGCCTAAGACGGCTCAGGATAATCCAATATCGAAAATGACGGATTAGTATAATTAAATTGTTTTATTCTTAACGAACGCCATACTCTTTACGAGCAATAACTGTTATTTATCTGGACTTTTATATAAATATTTTACCAAAAAATTATTTTAGTTTTAGGAAGAAGAAATTGGAACAGTCGATTTTGGTTCAATAATCAAAATGACTATGACTTACATTTATTAGAAGACTTTGAAATTATTTTTTTATAAGAAACATGGGACTGCATCAAATTCTAATATCCACGATTAACGCCGACTAGCTGTTCTTGCTTATTCAATCACGCTTATTATTTATGTTTATATTTAAAAATCGATATAAACAAAATTGGAAACGGTATAAACAAAAATGTCTGCTTTTTATCCCATCATATGAAAATCATACAAATGGCGAGGATTTGGGCTATTTTAAAACACGCTTTTGAGCTTGTGACATAACACATCTGTTTTGTTGCATGTCTCATTGGATTGCTATATTTTATGATGAAATCTTTTTTGTGTTTACAAAAAAAAACTCATCTTCTTTGCGGATGAAGATGTAAAGATATATAAATATATATGGCAAATTGTCGAACGATGAACTTCTTGTAAGCTGTAATTCTTGTATAAAATGTAAGATCCTTTGACATATGTTAGCTTCTTATAGAAGAATGTAAAACATGATGAAGTTGTATAATTTTGCCAAAAAAAATATCAATTTTGTAATGATATGATGCTTTGTTGACATTTAAAGTTCAAAAAGTACTTCAGTCTTTACGTGATAGCTATGACAATGGGACAATGAAATAATGGCAAATGATAGCAGGGACAAGTATTTATAAAAACGCGGGAAAGGGATTCATTCTTAAAATCCACCTTTCTTAAAATCTAAATCATTCTAGATATATTATTTCATGCTGATCAGACAAGATAATTTTAAAAATTACGTGTACTGAAAATTCTAACTCGATGAAAATTTTATATCTGTTATCAAATCATCATGCTGTATCTTAATGCTTTATCAGATAATTATGTATAATATGTATCGAATGTGTGCAATAAGCAGTGTCTCTTTGAACGCTTTTTCCGAATCGATTATTTAAAACTGTCATGACATGTAATTTGTATAAATAGTTCATTAGCGGGGAACAAAGAATTTTCGATACATTTGCGTTTTTGTTTAGTGTCGACTTCGCGGTCGAACTAAAACTGTGAATAAAATTTCTCCATTGATCGGTGCCAATTTACCGAAATAGAAAGACGACATTAGCGCTAAGTGAAAGTATTTTGTCGTTGTATGATGAGCACAGCTATCGTTTCTTTTTTCATAATTCTTCGCAGCATATTATATAAAATTTAATGGATCTTATAATATGCCTCCGATTATATATTAAATAGTTTTACTTTTATAAAGATAAATAAAAGTGTTAAAATAACCAATGTACATATAAACGTGCTAAAGCTTTGAACGTCATTGCGTATAAAGTTTCTTATTAACACACGTGATTGTGCTGGTCTGCAAATGAAAGAAAAAAAAAAGAAAAAAAGACACTGTAAGTCTCCTTATCTACGATTGGTTCAATATCCTATTTTTATTTGTATTTAATAAAATTGCTGACGATTTTTTATAAATCAATGTTTCTTTCATTGAAAATTTGCGTTATCATAACTTTGTTCGTAGGAAAACTTGTGTTAATATTGAATGTTTTATTAGCAAGAGACACAGTGTAACACAATAAATCATTACATTCTTTTTGTTTGCCAACATTAGACAAAGATGAAATGGTAACTGGGTTACACTGCTTGTTCCTGGAAAACATCAGTTATTTCATATAAATATTGCGCAAGACTAGTAGTATAATCATTACAAATTTTCGAATGAAAAATAAACATTTTCATGATTTTATCGAATGTATTTTTAGCATTTGGATTAACATTCCTATTATATGCGAAACCCATTATTTTCAAAATAAAATATTTAAAAATGCAGATTATAAACGTAAAAACTTGAAAATTTTTCGTTGATTAAAATATGCATTCAACTGTCTTATAAGTTTGTTTTATAATTGTATCTATTTTTTTAGATTGAAATTAATTATTATCTTTATTACTAAAGTAAAAATTATGCATCGAATATCAATCCTTACCTCTCCCCCCCCCCCTAGAAAGAATAACTATTTCTGATATAATAATATATTAATCTTTTAATTTTTTGTGCTACTTTTTTAAATTTTAATTCTATTCTTGAAGTTTATACCAAATACTGTATCAGAGTGGTATAATCAATTACGGCATAATAGTATCAACAACTTGCTACTGCTTTGTGAAAAAAATTGGACAAATCTCTTTTTACTCGTGTTATATTTATATTATTCGGCTCCTTCATTATCAGAAATTTCAACGTTTATAAAACTGCGTTATAATGCAGATAATCATTATGATTCGAATGACGAGATTGAAAAAGGCTCTTTATCGTCGTATATGGATTAATTTACTATCAAGGGATATTTGTAAAATCATCAACATACATCAGTTGACAATCTCATCTCGACATGGCATAAATTTTTATATTACTGCAATGTGTGAGTGTGGACAACAGAATGTAATCTCATCGAGTACAGTGATAATGCAGCAAAAGGGTCCATTCTGAGTTCAAGCTCGACAAAATACATAATCGTTGACGCATGTAAAATTACGTAGCAAAATTGCAATGGGTAATATGTATATTCTTATAATACGTGTATAAAGTGTCATTTCGCCACTTTGTAATAATCTTCCTATTATGTAATTGTTAATCAACGATGATTATATTTCTATTACATCCATGTTGTCACATTCGTGGAAAAGAAAGGAAAGATAATTTCATATAACGATATCGCTAAAAGATCAAGTTCCATTAATAAAAATGGAAATAATCATATGGACAAAGTTTTCAATCGATATTTTATATCCGAATGTTTCTTAGCTACATGGATTAGGGTCTGTGCCCTTTTTTTCTACAAACACAAAGCTGTATGTACCTCATATAAAATTTCCATTTATCTCATCCATTTATTTACGCTCTTTATATTTCAATTGTATCACTTAAAAACGATTCCTGTGCTATATATTATGTGGTAACAGACAGGCCCTTTTGTCGTATGCTCACTGTAATGACATACAAGGAAACGAAAACTTAGCTATAGAGATCGTCATCTCCATCATCTTGAAAGGTTTGATCGCCTTGTGTATTATCTTGAGCACCACCTGCTCCACTTTGTGGAAATCTGCAAATAATTTTTTAAGATGAAAAAATATTTTTTATTATGTACAAATCTGTCTAGTAAAAATATCATATTTTTAGCATTTAAAAAAACAATAACTATAAGGATTTAATTTGATTCCTTTGTTGTTTTGTAATGTATATTAGAATTGAAAAAGAAAATTCGTACCTGAAATTAGTCCCAAATCCTCGAGATTGCTGAAGCGTTTGCGCAAACATTTCGTACTTGCGAATGTCGTTATCGGACACTGAACGACGCGCAAACCTCATTGCTTCCTCGAAGTGAGCTCGCGTTATTTCTGGTACAGGATCATCCTCATCCATCTAGAAAAAGCGAATAGTAGAACTTAGAACTTAGGAGTGATATACATATATATTAATAGCAATTTTTGTGTTCGAATTATTTAATTTCTATATAAATATATATATCGTTTACTATATATTGCTAAAAAAAAATGCATGAAATGATTGTTATATGCGATTATAAAAGTTTTTTTCCCTTGCGATCAGAAAATGAAATATTGTACTACTTATCATAGTACGTCATAAAAAATAAAAAAAATGTATAAGAAAACTTTCTCTGCTGATGTTTCGAATATGACTCGAATAAAGTCTAATGCTGACTCAGATGTGAGTCATACAAAATGACACAGCAGAAATGAGTCTACGAAATAATGCAAAAAAAAACGCTGTAAAATGTGAAGTGCATTTTATAAAGATATCTTACATCCATAGACGCGGATGGATTATTTGCTCGTTCTTTTTCCCTTCGAATTTCAGTCTCGATGCACTGTCTAATGGCAAGTTTGCATGCCCGCTGGCAAATTTCTGTCAAATCAGCACCGGAAAAGCCGTGCGTGACTTTGGCGATGTAGCTTAGATCCACATCCTAACAAAAGAAAAGAATATTTTTTTTTATAATTAAAAACACACACAGGAAAATAAAAAATACATCGCTATTATTATTTGTATTTTTTAGGCAAATTTATAGAATTATTACCTTAGCTACAGGTGATTTCCGAAGATTGGCGCGGAATATCGCTTCTCGAGACTTCTCATCGGGTAATGGTATATAAATTAATTGATCTAATCTACCGGGTCGTAGAATTGCCGGATCGATGATATCGGGTCGATTTGTTGCTCCTATGATGAATACATTCTTTTTCGCACCCATACCGTCCATTTCCGTTAATATCTGATTTATCACACGATCCGCAGCACCGCCAGCATCGCCGACGGTGCCTCCTCGAGACTTTGCAATAGAATCAAGTTCATCGAAGAATAGTACACAAGGTGCTGCTGATCTTGCCTGAAAACAATTTATTGTTAAACGATAATCTCGAATTCTCCATTAAAGAATGCGAGATAGTTTACCTTATCGAAGACATCTCTGACATTAGCTTCCGATTCTCCAAACCACATAGTTAATAATTCAGGACCCTTGACAGAAATGAAATTTGCTTGACACTCATTGGCAATCGCTTTGGCCAATAGTGTTTTACCACAACCAGGTGGGCCGTAAAATAATACACCTCTTGACGGTTGCATACCGAATTTCAAGAATTTATCAGGGTGTTCCACTGGATACTGCGCGACAAAGACACACACGTTAATAAATATGTAATTTAAAACTTATGTATATGTATTAAACCTTATATCTATTCTTACCTGCACCAATTCTTGCAACTCCATTTTAACATTTTGTAAACCTCCAATATCATCCCAGGTAACCGTCGGTACCTCCACAATGGTCTCACGTAGAGCACTCGGACTGCTTTTCGTCATTGCATACTTTAACAAAAGATATTGAGATTTAATAAAAAGATATTTAACAAACAAAATATTTTCATTTAGAAAACGATGTGAATAAATTCAATACAAGATCAAAGTAATAACCCACCTTGAAGTTCTCCATTGTTACCGCAAGTGAAGATAAGACTTCTGCGTCTATATGGTCATCTTCCAAGTCTATGAGATCCATTTTTTCACGTATTTGTTGAAGAGCCGCTTCGGAACATAAAGACGCCAAATCAGCACCAACGTGTCCATGAGTTTCTGCTGCAATCTAGTGATATTTTTTTTTAATATTGCTTTACAGTTATAAAATGTTAACTATTTTGATTTATTAGAAGTGACGTAAAAATAAATGACACCTCTTCTAAATCAACATCATCAGCAAGCTTCATATTCTTCGTGTGGATTCTCAAAATTTCCAATCGGCCAGTAGCATCTGGTATACCAATGTCAATTTCTCTATCGAAACGTCCGAATCGGCGCAGTGCCCCGTCAATGCTGTTCGGTCGATTGGTAGCTGCCATTACAATCACATGGGAGCTTTGCTTCATACCGTCCATCAGTGTCAACAGTTGAGACACAATACGCCTTTCGACTTCGCCATGCGTCTATATAAAAAAAAATAATTTTTATTTCAAAATGCGATTTATAAAAGACATTAAATTTGACTTGGTGAACCTTTTCACGTTTCGGCGCGATCGCATCAAGTTCGTCAATAAATATAATGGCCGGAGAATTTTTCTCGGCTTCCTCGAACGCCTTCCGCAAGTTGCTTTCAGATTCACCAGCCAATTTGCTCATAATTTCAGGACCTGCATAGAAAGAGGAAAGTCTTTAAATATCTTATATTGCCTCATGTTCCTAATTCATATTATACATTTTTATTCCTATAATTAAATACTATTTTGCTTGTATACAGATTGCATACCGTTTATGAGAAAGAAGAATGCTCCGGTCTCGTTTGCCACAGCACGTGCAATGAGAGTTTTTCCTGTACCTGGTGGTCCATATAACAATATACCACGTGGTGGCTTAACACCGATGGCTTTAAACAGAGATGGATGTCGCAGAGGCAACTCTACCATTTCCTTAATTTGTGCCAACTGTTTACGGACGCCACCGATATCGTCGTAACCTACAGCATTTAATGCTTCTTCTTCTTCCTGTAAATAAATGCTCTCTTTATTATCTACGTCGGTATTGAAAATACTAAAAACATATAACGTATTTTTCTGACCTCTCGTTTTATCGGATCACCTTCACAATGTATCACTGTATCAGGCGCCACAATGCAAAATGGTCCCGGATCAGTTTCTACAACTTTGAACTCCACAGCTCGCATGCCACCTCGTACAATAAAATTATCATCTTTGTGAATAGGACGGTACGCTTCCAGGAAGTATGGTTTTAAATAGACTTCAAATAGATTTCTACAAAAATCGAAAAATACATAATTTATATATTTATACTATCATAAAAATATTATGTAATTAAAAGTAAAATGCACAAAATTAATTTCAAAAAGATAACAAACAACTCATGATTTTACTGCAATTAGATATTTTCAGTACTTTTTTAAGTTTCATTTTAGAGTTATTAATCTTGTGATGATATTAATCTTGTAAATTATTATATATGTGTACACACACATATATAATAATTTACAAGATTACACACACACACACACACACACACACACACACGTATGTATATTTCAATTTTATTAGAGTGATGTTTGGTTCCGTGTAAAAGTGACTGTGACAAGTCACTTTTTTAAAGAATAGGCCTTCAAAAGGCCTATTCTTTTTGGCAGATCATCTTTCTTCCTTTTCTTTTCCTCTAAAGAGAAAAGGAAGAAAGATGAATTGGTACAAAAGTTCAGCTAAAAAGAATAGGCCTATAATTTGCAGATACCAAGTTCAATCCCCATGTACATACACCCTCAATTTTGTAAGATCAATTAAAAAGTTGAAGGTTATATTGTGAAGAAAATAATAGAATGAAATCTACTTTGGATTTATATTTTATTTGCATCTAAACCTTAGACATAACGTTAAATTTACCCAGCAAGACCATCGACAGTATCATCCATTGGCAGCACATGAATACGTTTTCCGTACTTGACTTCTGGACATGCTTGTACAGAAACGACGTCACTTAGACGTACACGTAAGTTATTTCTAACAACGCGGTTCATACGGATTTTCTCATCCGGACAGGTGTCATCTGAAAGTACGATGCACACTGTTTCCTTACGCCTTTTCCCTTTCAGCAACACAGTATCTCCGCGAAACAATTGCAATTCATCCATTTTTGCTTGAGAAAGCGCAACCACGGAATTATCATCGGCAATTGCTTCATCAACCAACAGTCTGTTTGGCCTGTCCTTCTTACGAAGGATAGCCGTCGCCAAATCTTCACCACTGAAATATAAAACATTAATTATATGTCAAATGATTCTTATATGATACTCCTTTGTTTAACATTTTATATTGTGAACACAAATAAATGTAACAAAAATTAGAAATAAAAATGTTATCACCAATGAGAATGTACAGATATAAAATTTTTTAGACAAATGAGACAACTATAATTTAAAAAAAGAAATCAATTTTTTAAATTTAATAAATAAATTTAAAAATAAAGGATGGTATTCTTTTAACATTTTTTTCTTGAAGGAAACAACTGTAAATGCTATTCTATATCCTATACAAAAATCTTTAAAATTATTTTTCTTATTAATTTACTACAAAGTCTTCATGATGAAATAAACATGTCCTTATATTCTAAAGTGAAAAAAAACAAAACTAATTAATGACATATCACATATATAAATGTGTACACATATATATATATATATACACACATATATATATATATACATATATATATATATACATTCCACAATGCATTTTATTTGTTATTTCCTAAAATCCTTGTAACATAATTTCGAAAGGTGATATGTAACAAGTACACGAAATTAACATATTTTTGAATTTCAGACACGTAAAACGAATGCAAAATTGTAGCGAGAACATTCGTGTTCACGTTCATAATTTTCGCATCCGTATGGGCAACCAGCTGACTCAGTGTCGCGAAGAATCGAGCGTCTTCTTCCCTTTTGTCATGTTTGGTTCGCGCACAGCCATGATCGAGCGATATGCCAGAAAATTTTTAAGTCTCGATCCGCGGTCCGCGGGAGCACCCCCGGACGAATTGGGATATCGCGAGGACGAGGAGGCGCGTGATTCACGACGTCATCGGCTGCCACGATGAGCGCGGGTCTTTGCGAAAAACAAAGCGTCGCTCTGTCGACATGATGACATCGTGAAATTGAGTGCCGCCTTGGCTGTCGCGCTCCGCGACACACACATCGCTCCGCCGACGAACGCGAGCAATCGGCATGGAATCACCTTCGATCGATTCAGGTCGAGCCCGTCACGAATTTCCTCACCTTTTTGGATCACTCATCGTCCAACCTTCGGTGTTGTCCGCGCAAAAAAAGGAATCCACACGATGCACGATCACTCCTTTCGGTACACGCAATGAGTGTAGCAACGGAGTCACGGACACAAATGAGAGGAAACCGTCTGTGATGACTCGCTTCTACCCGTTGCCAAATCATAGAGTAAAGGCGCGTCCATATTTCGCGAAATCGGAACCGCCGCGTGACACGGCGACACGTCAAAATAAACATGGTAGCCAATGGCTGCGTTCAGCAGAGAAAGCAGCTTTGCAACTGTTGTAAAATTCTTAAATATGATTGGTTTATACATTTAGATCCAGTGAGAAACTAAGGACAATCATATTAATGAATTTTACAACAGTTACAAAGCTGCTTTTTCTGCTAAGATCAAGTTCTACAACTCATGGTTAACTCTTAACTGAGATTCAACTTGTTTCTTATCTCTTTCCAATTTAAGAATTAGAAAGAGACAATGAATAAGTTAAACCTCGGTTAAGACTTAACCGTGAGTTGTGGAACTAGGCCTAAAAACAACCATTGGCCTAAACTTCGACGGAATCGTTGACAAAAACAATTACGTGGTCAAAATTGACGAATATCAAGAGTCAATTTTGATCACGTAATTCTTTTTGTCGCTGAAACATCCGGTTTGAGCAGCTCATAAAAATGTACAATATAATTAGTTAATCATCAGAGTCCTTCATTTCTTTTTTAGGGCTACGTTTCAAAATTTCCTCTCTGAGGAAAATTTTACTCGAAATATATAGTACACGTAACGTATACTACAGCATATAGAGTAAAATCTTCCTCAGAGAAAAAGTTTTGGAACGTAGCTTTAGATTGTGATTGATTAATTTCCTACTTAAAATCCCACGATCGTCTACAATTTCTATGTAAACGAACCTTAATACATGTCCAATTGTATAACCATCACCTTCACTGGGCTATGAATCTGCTATCTCCTCCAATGGATGCATTCAGTACTGCAACCGCTCACTGAGCGCTCAGTAAGCTCTTGCATCTGATTGGCATATTCTGTTAGAACTAAAAATATAGACCAAACAGATACAAGAGCTCACTAAGCACTCACTGAGCGGTCATAGTACTGAATGCACCCAATAATGTACTTTAGTATCAATTTACGTCACGCGCAATTCGCGGTCTACGGAGTGAGACTAGTGATAGTTCGATAAATATACACATTTATCAAATCGACTCGTAATGGCCGGGATTAAAGGTTATTTCTGATCATTTCGCGTATGCGATTCCCCGTGGCATGAATTCTCGAGAAATGTCATCGTCGTAGAAACCTCGCGCTAAAACCGCGAAAATTGGCTGTCAAAACATAACCTCTTCGCACCACTATTGTCATCGTCGTTTGACGTTTGGCTACGCGCACAATCATCACTTAATTAAGTTTCGTAACTTGATTTAAGAGCAATGTGCGACTTTCACGTCGCGTCTCCCTTCGATTCTTTTTTTTTTTAACGTAAAAATAAAAATTATAATTTAGAACAGTTTCGTTTTATGATCGCAATGCATTGTTTGCAACTTTTAGGATCTTCAGTTTAAAACATTGCGATCTTTCATCTGTCGTTACGCAAAAATTTTATATGAACTTATTGCTACAAATAGATTCAAGACTAGACAATCAAAAATGCATTATCAAACTCGTAAAAATGTAGGCTGTTAGGAGGCAGTCAACAAATATTTTATATCTTCACATTTAATGAATAACATCGATAGAACGACATTTGTCAACTATGTCTTCAAAAAGGACAACAGCCATAGTATTAAGGGCATTCTACAATGCGTTGCAAACAACCGTTGTCAGTTGAAATGTTTGTCAAGACAACCAATCAGAAGCATAAATAATACCATTAACGTTTCTAATTGATTGTCGCGACAAATGTTTCAACTGGCAACGGGTGTTTGCAACGCATTGTAGAATGCCCTTTAATACTGTTAAACGCAATAGATTAATTTTGTATTTTTCTTATTTCATGGCATTTTTTGTGACACTTCCTCGAAACAGCGTAAGTATCTTTGCGAGCAAATAATTGGCATAAGATACTTTATGCTTTCCAGCAAGAAGCACAGTATATACAGTGATCATTTTATTTTTATTTATATCATTGGCAAACAAACTTGATTCACTATGGCTGCGTTCTATTTAATACTCACAACGCTCATAGAATCATTTCATCTTTGTAGTTTATCAAATGTTAAACAAGGACAAACAACGCTCGTGAGCATTATGAGCATTAAGTGGAACGCAACCTATGCCGTCTACATTTCTCTCTCTTGCTGTAAAGCATCCATTTTTTTTTCTTAAAATTCGCGTGAAGTAGATGCTTCTCTGTTATTCACAAAATTTAATTAAGCCAGTTTTTTAGTACAATGATAACATGGAAATATATAATTACAGATTAGTACTGCTAGCATTTGCTGGTTCCATTGGAATGACATTTGTCATTCTTGGCTGTGCATTACCGATATATAAGTGAGTAACTTTATGAAACTAATCAGTTTTATTCAATTCTCCTAGAATTATAGAACATTATAACACAAACATAATTTCTAGAGTATGGTGGCCATTTTTTGTTGTACTATTCTATATATTGGCACCTATTCCAACTATAATAGCACGTCGCTACACAGATGATTCGGGAAGCAATAGTAATCCATGTTTAGAGTTTGCAATATTTATTACAATGGGATTCGTAGTATCGTCCTTTGCTCTTCCAATAGTATTGGCGCGATCTCCGGCAGACCAGCCAGTGGTAAGAGTTACACACCTTTTTATAGAATATTTTAACCCTCTCTGCAATCTGAGTCATTTTTTGACATAAATAAAATTTCTTCCTTCATTTTTGTTCAATTTTCAATTTTTATTCAATAAAAGTTAACATTTGTTTTAAAAATTGTTTGGCAATGTAATAGGGACATTGAAAAACCCTAAACTTTTTTTTTTTAATCTAGAATAGTAGACAAAACTTTTGAGCTGGACAAAATGGACTCACATTGTAGATGAAGAAAATGAAAATATGATTGCTATAATAAATTAGCTTTAAATCTGTTGATTAGAATATAGATTGTTTGTCTTTACAGATAGAATGGGGTGCTTGCTACTTGACATTAGCGGGTAATATTGTTGTGTATTCAACTCTAGTCGGATTTTTCATAACCTTCGATCAGGATGATACTGATTACAATATGTGGTGAAGTACTACTGCAATGTACTTATTCATCATAATAAAAATGTAAGTATATGAACTAATTTATCTTGAAATAGTAAAAGTCAATGCTTTGATAATTATTATTGATGAGATGAAATTATTTTATTTCAAGACCTCATTTATAGCTTATTTTCAAAATGTAGAACAGACATTTATTAAAAACATGCCACTTTTGTGATACATGAAATACATGAAATTGTTTCAGGTTTTCTATGAGATTAGAAGGAAAAAAATATCAATCATACAGTGCACTGACTGAAAGCTACATGTTGATTCTAAATTATGAAACTTATTATACACAGTTTACATAATAAACCCTAATATGGATACTCTACTTGATGCTACAAAAGAAAATAGTATTATATTATAGTGCACTAACGATAGAATGTGTTAATGAAAATACACTACATTGGATTCCATGCGTGTTACGGAGCGGCGAAAAACAAAATGCATTTGATGTCTTAGATTTTTCGTATGAGACTATTCAGGATAACCTGAAGCGCAACAATACAAGGATAATGTTGAAAATATTTTTTATTTAATCTAAGTCTTTCGTAATAATAATGGTAATAAAGCTACGATTTATTACTTAATCTTATTTCTTCAATCCTTGAAAAAAGCGGTCAAGAATGTTCTCGAGATCATGTTAAAATAAAATAACTTGAAAATCATTCTCTCATACGCATTCCTTATGTATAATTGTGATTGTTACAATTTCAATATGAACAGGAACAGTGCGATTATTACTCTATAATTTCTTGATTTGAATAGATTTTTAAACTGCAATATTTTACATTTTAATGACGAGAAAAATTTGAAAAAAATCATGCTTATTTTTTCATTTAAAGTAAATCAAAAATTTTTAATCGCATGTATTTTTAAGTAATTTAAATAGTCGCCATTATGAAGTACAAGATGATTTCCGGTTACTGTTGCAACATTAACCGGAAATCATCATTTCTTTAACATGGCGCCCGTTTAAGTAAAAGCCGAGATTGGTTGTATTCAGATTCCAATTTGAGTGTCAGGTATCATTTTATCCTTGTTGCTCATCGAAAGTTAAAGAAGGACAACACGATACCTGGGAACACGTGGAAATCTGAACGCGCTTATTGACGTCCGATTTCTTAGCGCATTACTTCGAATGATACAGATTCCAGTGGTCAGGTAAGTCATTGATCTTTTCTTAATCACGATATTTCAAATTTCTTTCGAAGAGATTTTCTCGCATCTTAATTTTTCCTCCTGGAAGCAACTGCTGTTGCAAATTAGCACTTTTAGACGTGCCTAAAAATCAGCGACTACCAGCAGAAATCTGATCGCACGAAATCCGATAATGCATGTCGCAATTGTCGCAAGGCGCGAAAAGATTCGAACGTATATCGCTATTTACAAGAAAATTGATGAACGCTACCTCGAACAGATTTGAGAGAGAATTCAGTGTAATCTGTTGAAAAAAAAATCCGATTTAATTTGTTTGCGTGTGTGGAAGGTATATTTTTAACAATAGAACTGTATTTCGAAGATTAATGTACAAATTTCGTCATTTTAATAAGAATTAGGTTAGAAATGATTAAGACATTTATTTGTGAAATTATTATAGTTTTAACACTATTTTTAAAAGAATTTTACCGAAAATAATTGTGAGTTTAAGTTTAAAGTAATTACGAGTATGAATAAGTCGCACATCCAATTGCATAGGTAATATTGGAATTTCATTGATGCATAATTGAAATACCATTGATTAAAAGAATATCAAATTATACGATTAAATAATTCAGTGTATAATTATATATATATAATTTTATATATAATATTTGGAATTGAATTTTATGATATAATATGATTATATTTTATGGTAATAAGTTTTAAGTATATATACCATACATTTCAGAAGAATTAAACATCTTTATCATGTAAATTTTTCCACTTTGGGCCAATATGTTTTATCTAATCGCATATCTGCACCAAATCATTTTCCAGAGATTGTAATGTAAAGATATATATAGTTAATATTTATCTTTTTTACTTGTGTGGATTGCTTGTGTGGAAAATGATTGCTAGCTAATGACTGTTTTTTTAATGAAGAATATTTTGATAAAAGGTAAGTTTATAATTTAAAAATGATATTTTCGATTGTATACCAAGCATTTGTAAAATTACTTTCTTTCTAGGACATAATTTAGAATTAAATATTAGTTGATTTTATCAGAATGCCTTTTGAAATTCAAGAAGCAGAACTTTGTGAATCTTTTGATCAATCTATTCAAATGGAACAGCTACTGCCAATGGAATTAGGGAGTAAGTGTAGCTTTTGAATTGTTTGATGATTTAAAATTTTTATAAAATTTCTATATGTATATAAAGTAAAACATTTCTAGGAAAACATGAAGGGATACTAGATCTAAACTCTATTATTCCATATGCTACTTTGAGAATGCGCAATGTTGCTCATTTATCTAATGAAGAATGTGCTAATGCTATTGCCAGTCACCTGCAATCAAGCGAGAAGTTTATGCATGATGATCCCAAATTGGAACAATTTAGAATGGAAACAGTGAGAACAATACCACAATGCCTTGCTGTGAAACAATCTGTTAAGTTACAGCTACTGGAAACTGTTAACCAAAAGACAACAAAGAGATCAATTAGTTGTTGGAAATTGTTTAAATATAATGTTAGTTTAAAGTTTACAAAGGTAATGTTAATTTTTGTTGGAACTCTTATCTTTATATTATGTATAAAGAAATGAGAAAACTTGGATTTTGTTTATATAGATTTGGATAACAATGCAGAATTTCTTGTCAACAATGAAATTATGGCATCGAACAATAAAAACCATTGAGAGTCACCATGGAAGTGGAATAGCAACATACTTCAAATTCTTGAGATGGTTATTCTTTCTTAATACAATTTCCTGTATTTTGAGGTAAATACATTTTATTTCTTTTTTTTTTGTAAAATTATATTTATAAGTTCATTTTGAAAAAAAAATTTGAATCAATTTAAAGTTATTTAAAATTAAAAATTTTAAAAATGTTTATAATTCTTATTTATTTGATAAATACAAAGTGCTTTATATATTACTATATTAAATGAAGTAATCAAAATGAGATTTTGATGAATATTTTATATTTACAGTGTATCTTTTATTGTGATTCCGCAATCATTGGATCAAGTATATGTATCAAACGATATTAAAGTACTGGATTTTTTAACAGGCAGTGTAAATCTAATCATTATTTTATGAGCAGCATGTTCTAAATAATATAGCGCACATATCACAATATTTTGATTTGCAGGGCTTTTTATCTCACACAATAATGTATTATGGTTTTTATTCCAACGGCACAGTAGATGTATCATTTGGAACCAAATATAGCATTCCATTTGCTTATTTCCTAACGCTGCTTTTTTGTTATATAGTTACATTTGTTATACTCTCTCTCAAGTATGTGTGAATTAATAAGATTAAAAATTATTCAATTTGTAATTTAATTGAATGTAATAATAATTTTTTCAGAGTCATATCCTCTTATAGAAAGTCTTACGTCGAAACACGCGGAAAAGTACACAATTTATATAGCAGCAAAATATTTTGTGGATGGGACTTCAGTATATCTTCACCAAAAACTGCTGTTTTGCAATCTGCATCAATTTATAAAGAACTAGAAGAACTATTAGCAGAAACGAAGCAGCATATGCGTTTGCATTGGTGTACTAAATTTTTATTAATTATAATACAATTTGCTGCGACATCTATTGTTATATTTATGATTTTCGGTGCTGGTGCACTCGTTTGGATTCTTTTAAGCCATTACAACATAGAAACACCTGTAACTATCTCGATTATGATTGTGCCAATAGTCATTACCGCCATCATTCATATTTTTCCAGCGATTATCTCCTACCTAGTAAGTAGCCTGCATTTTCTGTTTGTAAAAATAATTGATTATAATATTAATATTTTTAGGCATTGTTAGAACGCTACAATAACAAACGTACGGAACTTTATGTAACAATTGTTAGAAATTACGCAGTTGCTGCGATAATAATCGGGACTTTATTCATCTTCTGGATAACACACAGTATGTCATATTGTTGGCAAACACACTTAGGAGAAGAGATTTATCGGCTTATTGTACTGGATTTCATTGCTTCGCTATTTGGGGCATTTTTGCATTTTATACGTTCTGTGCTGTACAAAAGATATTCAACAAAAGTCGGGAAATCAGAATTCGATATCGCTCGCAGTACATTAAATCTCATTTACAATCAGATGCTCTTTTGGATGGGATTTTATTTTAGTCCGTTAATATCTATTATGATCATGATAAAACTAATTTTTACGTTTTACATAAAGAGATATGAACTGAAAAGATACTACCAGAGACCATCGCAGCCTTGGCGAGCGGCACAAACACAAACATTGTCCTTAGCTCTCACATTTCTCAGTATTATTGTAATATTATTCACGATAGGATATGTTATCACAAATGTGAAAAGTGATGAATGCGGACCATTCAGAAATCATCTTCATACTTGGGATTTTATTGTCGACGGGATGTTATCATTGAAAAGAGATAGCACATTCTGGAAGGTTATTTCGGAACTTGCGTCACCAGTAACCGGTGCTGTAATATTGATTGGCATGAGGTAGATTTATAATTATGAATTTAAATATAATGAATTTATATTAGATATGTATTAACTAAGTATTTTTATTAAAAGTATTGCAGTGTATTGTTTAAGAGCAAAAGCAGAAGCGAGTAAGGAAATATCACGAATTTTTTCCAATATGCTTCTTCTTCAATCTCAAGATAAGCAATTTCTCATAAATAGTTTTGGTAAATGTGCTGAAAATAAACGTAAGTCACGTTTACTATTAAATTATAGATATCTTTATATAATTATTGTTAACAATTTATGTATATTTTTCTTTTTCAGATACCTTTGTTCCTAATGAGATTAGTTTTGTCCAAGATATTAGACATATTGAGCAAGATTGTACAAATGAAGAAGCTTTACTTCATCGACATAACTTACCATCGACAAGTTTCGAAGAAAGATGATTATAGTTATTAATATAAACTAGTTGACAATTTGATAACAAACTGCCAGAGCATATATTAGCCGATTAATTTTCCTTCAGTTTTATTTATACATTTAAATTGAGTTTTTCAAAATATTCCATTGTACGCGATTTTGCTAAAACCTGAACGCTCAAGACTGTTACATATGATAAAATATTCCAGACAACATTATGTCCAAAATGCAGACATAAGACATCTTCAAGACATCTTACATCCATATTTTGAACATAATGTTTGAATTATTTTATTAGATATAACATTCTTGAGTGTTCAGGTTTTAGCAAAATTGCGTGTGCGACAGAAGCAATACTTTTTAATTGGGCGCGCCGCGGCACTGAGTGCAAACTTTGTTTTTCTAAAAAATCATTGATAATGCAGGTCTTTTTTATCAATCTTCGGTATTCCTCATTTAATGTTAAATTTTGATATTATATTTTATTATAAATATATTTTACTTGCTTTTGACGACTGTTCAATTATTTATCCAATTATTAT